CACACTTACCACGGTAGGAAGGGAGAACAGAAAAAGCGGTAGAACGAGAGCGAGAAGGAGCGATTGGCGGAACGAGGAAAGGAGAAGGAGGAAGGGAATCCAATATAACTGCACACACGTTTATAGGGTCGATGGGAATATATTGGAGCGGATATTGAAATACTTGTTGGTAGTTGAGTCGAAGGCGAGAGATGCCTTTCTCGATGCCATCTTGATTGCGCAATCGAGGCATCGGTCCACGAGTACAGAATTTAACGATAAAGATCGTACGGATTATAGAATCCTAGACGGGGAACAGGGCTCTGTTCCCCTCCGCCTCTCCCTCACTCATCCTACTCCGCAGTTCTGTGCCTTTATCGGTATCGCGAGCCTCAGCCCTTCGCTGTTTACGAGAGAACCGCATCGTTCCGTTAAACGAGACCGATATTATGTCACCGCAGTTACACTTGGTACCCTAATCTCGTTATTCCTTTTGTAGAAGCTGCCTGATTCAAATATATTCCTATTATTCGTTTACTTGCGAGTGTATGTATTGGTTATGTTTGTCTGTTTTGATTTCCAACAAATTTTTGCCACTGATTAAAATAGATGTAAATCTACATAGTTGCATTATATCGGAAATTTTTTTTTTTTAAGTTGGTATCCGTGATTGAAAATAATGTTACAAAGGTCACAGTCTACAAACGTTTTCGCACATCTTTGATCCATGAATGTTCTATTGTATCTTTACCGCTGTATATCTTGCTCTTTTCCAATTAAAATTTCATCGAGAGCTCCCATTGATCCTGCACGTAATTGATTGGCCTGGTGCACAGAAATCTTCCATTCAATTTACGCTGAAAAGAACTTTCCAATAAGAAAGATTCTCCCCGAACCAATATACACAGTCGTGCTTTTACGATTCTTTATAACATTTTGTATCGTGTTTCGATAAACGATGAAAAAAAGAAGGTGCATCTTACAATTTCCACGTTAATTCACAGAAAGTAGTCAATAGAAAGGTTAACGAAAAGAAAAAAAAAAATAGCGCACTGACAATTACTTGCTGTATTAAAAGACTTCGACGTTTCACACCCTCTGCATACCATTCACCCCCTTCTCCACCATATTCTCTTTATTTCTTCCTTTCTCCGCGGCAAATATTCAATCTTTTATGCTCGAAACGTATTTCTTGGAACAAAGTCTTCAAACAAAATAACTTTTCCCTTTATTGAATAAAAACTCAAATGAATATTGAAGTTTCGAGGTATTGAAAGAAGGTATACTAAAATTTATATTACCGGATACTAATAAATAATAAACTTATAAACAATTTTCAATGCGAACGCTTGTAAGTTAACAATTCATCTTGTTACTACACTTTCGAACTAACCTATAAACGAGCATGAAAAGACTAAGAAAAATATAAAACAAGCTGTTGGTCTTTTAGAGTTTCAGGATCAAAGAATTTACTACGTAATTGTATACTACAAAAACGAAGAGGATTAAGGGGGAAGATAGAATTCTCGAGCGCGAACGATTCTGTCGAACGGAAATGCAATTCGCAGCGGCGCCGGCAGTCGAGTCTCAGCTCGAGTCGACAGATAGATAGAGTCAAGATTCAATTAGCTCTAGCTGTCAACTGCATGATACTCGTCGATTCAATACACCTTCCCGTTCGTGTGCCTTCGCACATGCTTCTGGCGTGCGTGTATGGGTGCGTGAACGCGCACACGCCAGTTCGCGTTTCGCATTTCGCTCCTCGTAACGTTCGCACGCCCACGTGATATGTACCATAGATGTGTATATACATGTATGTTCGGTCGCGTGAATGCGCTTAGTACACGCGTGCATGGCGAAAATTAGTCCGGTCGGGCAATCCTGGAATTTTGGAAATGATTTTACGGTCGCGGAGTGCGAGGGAGTGCATAAATTTTCGACGAGCTCGATTTCACCGAATAATGAGACAGACCATCTGTCGTAATAGAAGCGCCGATGATATTCAAATTCCTAGTTCGCTGTGTTGTACGTGAAAAGAAAGTGTTCTAGCTAGTTAGTTTTGAACTATAGGTTATGTTGTCCAAGTCGAAATAAAAAAAGTATAATTGGATCATTCGTGGTTTAATGTTTTTCTTTTCAATGATGTATTGTCTGTTAGTTTTTGTTCAATACGATCAGAAGAAAAAGAGAATGGTATAAAAAATAAACTTTAAATATATCTATAGAGCGTCAAGCAAGATGAGCGAATTAAATTCGTTAATACTTTATGGACTTTCGATTAACATCGAGAAGGGTATTCCTTTTATTTCTCCTTATTTTTCATGTTCCTTCATCGACGAGATATGCGATTAATATAACGTTTTAACGTGATTTTAATTGATCATCCGCTCGTAAAGATTCGGATCCGCTTTTGAACGGCCGTTACGAATACGTGAAAGAACACCCGTGGAATTTTGTGGTGACCGATGTGCGTGTAGGTGATGTAGGTATCACTTATCCGAGAGCAGGGCGATACCAGCCATTTTCAATTTATTTCAAGAGCCTTTTCGTGGCGGAGAAAAGAAGGGTGCCACGACTACCGGCAGAGAGATACCTACACAAACGACCTTCGACTCCTCTACCTCCAACCACTTCCATCGGCAGCCACAACCAATAGCCGTTTCGCGAACCTGATATTAAGATATTAAAGTTATTTCGAATCGAATACCGTCGGACAAGCTTTAGTGGCCCCTTCTCGCAATTATAAACGATCGATCAATATTCCCGTACATACCGATCGAGAAATCGGAGGATAACTCAAACTCATCACGTGACGTAGAAACTATGGTAATTAATCAATCTTTCGTGATTTCTGTTTTACCCACTTTTATTCCGTTTTTTAACAACACAGAACACCTTCTATATGAATTAAGTCCTTTTATTTAGAAGGAGGTAGTATGATCTACATTTTATTTTATTTATGACTTATGGAATTTTTTGGGCGAGTTTGTATGCCCGTACACAAGCAGAATTTCTATGCGAAAATCATCGTTGTTGTTTTGAAGTGTTTATACTGTATTTTAAGCTTTGTTTTCTTATGAGAAAGTGTAGATATAATGAAGAATTCAATGTCGCCTGATATATGTACTTAGAAATATTAAAGTAAATTAAGTTTCACTGCAATACGATTTCTCTCATTTTTTTAAACAGCTAATGATACTCGGTTTTCGATAATATTACGAAATAACGGTGAGTAGCTGCACGCTCGAAACCCATTTCAAACCAGAGTACTTATCTACAAACCTCCCGATATTCGTCTCGTTAATTTTTCTACAAACACGCTCTCGAAATATACATACAAAATATGCTGGTAA